AATGTACATTATTTGGCACTAATGGTCAGTACTTTCTCAGGCTTTTATTGTTTGGACAATACTATTCTTGCTGTTGATGCTTCCATGATAGCTTTTCTCCAACAGAGTAAAGTAAAAACATGTGAAATAGATATTACACTGTCTAATACCTTTACTTAACGCTCTAATTCCAATTTTCTATTCCCCATCAATGTGTCTTTTTGACTTAATTAATCAAACTTTGAAAAGAAAATGACTGTGTTAAGTTTGGGCTTATTCAAAGAGAACTGATAAAAGTATCTAGTAGGAGTCTATTATTTAGCTTGGCTATTATTCTTTTATAGAATGATGATAGAAAGACTCCTGGATCCAACTTGCACAGGCTTTACTTCCTAAATCCTTCCTATTCCAGTGTCAGCATGGAACAGGGTTTGTGCTACAGTTTGACTACAAAATTCCAGGACTTTTCAAGTACTTTTTCATCAAAAAAAGTGATTTTCAAGGACTATTATTAAGACTATTTTTGAAGTTTTTTTATGTTTGTGAACATTTCAGTGGCGATTTTCAAAAATAGCCACATTTCAATCCAAAAGCTAAAAAGTCAATTATTCAATTTCAACGGATTCAACGAGCTTTCCAGGATTTTTAGTGGTTTTCCCAATTTCCAAGGTCTTTTTAAGTGCCCTTGAAATACAAGTTTTCAATTCCAGGACTTTTCAAGAATTTCACGAATCCTGGCTGAAGAGTCTCTGCTAGTAGGGAAGAAAAACTTAATCATGGAGTTATTTCATGACCACTGAGATTCAACATGGGATTTTTTTCTGATGCATGTTCTTCACAAACAATACTAACTCATAGCTGTCAACCCAGAATTTGAACCTCGTCTCCCGGTCTCCCGGATAAAGGTTGAAATCTCCCAGAAGATCGTCAAACTTGTAAAAATATGGTAATTAAATGTATTAATGTAAGACGTACTCAACATATGACCGCTTATAATAAAAAAAGCTATTTTTTTAATAGTACTTAATATAATTTTCTTTGTTCAATCGAAATGTAGCTTTGCTTCCTGTCCATGCTGCCGTTACATCACGTACTTACGTAGTTCACCACCGGAAGCCCAAATCATGATTTCACAAATCTCCCGCATTGAAAAGTCAGGGGGTTGACAGCTATGCTAACTATCAAACGCTGACTTTACTTTGATTTAGCCTGCAGCGCTCTTTGGATCCTTTTGGATCTCTTCTCAAAGAGGAATGCTATGCAGTCTAATAACTACTCTGATTCCACAGATAAGTAACTAAAAATGATTTATTTTTAATCTTCTTGTTAATTTAACACCATCTGTACTCTACATTATTTATTGAATGTCTTTTTTCTTTCCTAATCTATACAAGCTATGCACATGTGATCATTAATTTACGCTCTTGAAATATTTAATAACTTAAAACTAAGTGTCTACTAGGATGGTATTGTTCTAAAACTAGATGACTTTACATTTGGTTGGCAAATAAACCTCCACCCCTCCCCATGTCAGGAATCAACCTCCTCACAAACTATGATAGCTCTTCCTTTTGTTCTTCCAGTACATGTAGCCCAAAATTAACACTCCTGTTAGTACAATACCAAGAATGATTCCTCCAAAGAATGAACCTGCATCAAACGATCTACCCTTCTCTTTCTGTGGAATGGGTGTTCTTGTAGATGGTGGCGAAGTGGTGGTTGTTGGAGCTGCTATGCTTGATGAAGTTGGTAGCGGCACAGTGTTCGTTGGTTTAATAGTTGAAGATGATGTTTGGGGATGTATCGAAGAAGTAGTGTTCACTAATACAGTYGTATTTGTTACACTTGCAATACCTGTAGTTATGGTTGGAGATGGGCTTATGATACTTGATGCATTAGCATATGCTGCATCTGTATATGAAAAAATTAAACAAAGACCTAAGTTATGTATCAGTTTTTGTAAACCTCATGAATAATTAATGAGGAAAACACAATAGAAATCACAACCGTGAAGAGTGTTGTAATACTTGATACAAAACTGTCTTGATTTACATAAACTTCAAATCTAATTTTCTCAGCCAAATTCAATTTTATCTTTAATTTTTTAGTAGATTATGAATGTATACAGCTAAACGTTTCACAAGTAATTTACAACATTCGCGTCCGTGTTGTATGGGCTTTACAATCTCGAGCCGAAGGCTCGAGATCGTATACAACATGGCCGCTCATGTTGTAAACATTACTTAAATCATATTGAACAGGCGCCTGTTGTACAAAAGATGGATAGTTATAATCCACCAGTCAAAGTTATCTACACTCCTTGGATGGATTTTATTTGCTGGATAAGGATTTATCTTTAAGCAATAAACGATAGCTTGAAGCGGTTTACTGGGGATGGTTGGGAGAACACACGAAAAGATCAGTACATATCACAAGCCATCAGGCTATCGTTTATTGCTTTTATATTATAGCTTGCGTCCGCCATTTAGACTCAAAAGTCTTTCAAGACAGCAGGCTAGTTTACCGGCGAAATAAACCATAGCTTTTCTCACGAAATCCGCCAATCAGCACGTGTGCTAGAATTGAGTTATAAAAAAAAAAAAAAGAATTGAGTTATAATATGACATGTCAGTTATAATATAATATGTACTATTCACCCTTCATACATCCAGCCCAAGATGTAAAGTTTGAGATTCTTTTGCCTTGATTATTATATCCTTATTTCCTAAAAA